TGTGTTAATAACGAACAAAAACACTACAATGCATCAAAAGGGTAACATCGTACATACGGCTTCCCACAAGTGAGAAGTCTCCCTGTCATTACAAATGTCAACACTTAGATCAACATTCAATATATATACATTGGCACAAGTGCACTTACAACAATTTCCATTCAAACATTTTTAACTCAATTAGAGCGATTTCACAAATTCACATAAACAACACACGCATATATATGCGCAAGTAAGATTCCATGCCCTCTAGTACCCCATGAAACACTATTCATTCATATCCCTATTTATCCAAAGCAAGGCAAATCCCAAGATAGTTAAGCATTAATTAACTTCAAGTAGCAATCATCGAAATCACTAGTTACAAGTCACATCAAAACAAACTAACCCAAACCAATCCGCAAATCTTACCAAAAAGGAAACAACTGCAAGAATCCATCTCTGTAAACTAGCCCAAATTACTAATTAGCCACCCTCACGGCTCAAATGTCGACATAAACATCATTTCACATCTCACAATTCATAATCATATGGTCATCATCACCTATTATCCTCATACGAATAGAGTCAAGAATTTTATAACACTTTGCTCCCAAACTCGGAAGTCACTAATCAACCAACCATACAATTACTAACACTTACAAGTTACCTCACACCGTCTACCCCGAGATGGAGCTTCTTACACCCTTCTACCTATTTCTAGAATCTCACTAGACTTTTCAAATATGCATTGCATTAGCACCATTCCCACTAGTCTCATCATTCTTGTGCCGATATAGCAACACTCATTTTGAGCTACACAAAAGAATCATCAATCACACAACACCGATTACAGTAATTACAACCTACACTCCTTCTCAAGAACTGCTTCTAGCGTTTAACGATTAAGTGCCTTTCATACTCATGAACTCTATACAAACCTTAATCATGTCACTCAATTCTTAAATACCACAAATCCCCTCATGCATAACTACTAGCCTACGATAACACTTAACCAATGCTACCCTCATCATCACAAAACACAATTCGCACTCCATCCCAAATCCTTTACAACATTCTATGTAACTTCAAACTAACCCCATACCATTCTAAGATCTTACCTCATCTTAACTACACTTCTCGTAAACCATACAAGTCGCGCATTCCACGTTCCACAAACACTCCCATTCAATTTAAGGCTCATAAGTCAATATACATTTATACCAATACCTATTGTCTCCCTCATTGCAGATTAATACTTATCCTACCGCTCTCATTATCTCAATAACAACATCAGACATCAACAACCGAACTCTAACCCTTTCCTAAGACACTTACTCTTCCTACCTCAACACAAAACCAACCTAACATATAATCACACAACACGTAAATATTGTTAAGCAACAAACCACACAATCAAGTCAAGACAACAAGGATGATCACTTGTTTCGGAACTTCTAAGGAATTCTCACTAGAAACCATGTTGATTAGACACGTTTCCAATGAGATCTCAAACAAGTTAACCAACTACAAGCACTATCCATGCAGCTCAACCCACATTCACACAATGTAACACAAAATGTCCTACACCTCTTACTTCTATATGCGACCATCCTCACCATGTAGTGATCCCAGTTTCGATCCTTCTTTCATGTTTTGCAACTTCGAATGGGCCGGTCGGGGGTCGAGTTGCCCAATCAGGTCGCGGGGGTCTAAGGGTAGTGCCTTGGAGGGAGTCGAGCTGCCTGGTCAACTCGCGGCGGTCTAGGGGGTAGCGACCCTTGGCGGGTCCTAGGGCAGCGCCCTGGCGGGATTGAAGGGCAGCGCCCCCAAAACAAAAATGTAAAATGCATTCAAAGTTACTTGTCCGCTTGAGTGGAGAATGTTTGGCTTCAGAAGTTTGATCTGTCTGCAAAAGTACTGGGTTAGTGTATTTGACGCTCGAGCAGGGCATTCCATGCTCGAGCGGACCATGTTATATCAGTTCATGAATATGATATTTTGTATCACTTTTTCAGTCCTCTCTCTCTCTAAAACTCTCCAGAATTCCAGATCGGGAGCTTCTCTCTCTAGAAGTCATCTTCTCTCTTTGATTTCTACAAATCCATTGGGATTTAGACCTAAGTTCTTCACCAAAGTTGGTTATCATCTAGAGGACTCCGTTGTGTGCGGTGAAGATCGAGTTTCGACACCGTTGATTTTGGGGGTTTCATCTCATTTCTTCTTCAAGACTTGATGTAGGGATTTTCTTAGAGTTATATATATATATATATATATTTTTGAAAGATCTAGATGATTTTCGAAATCATCCTTTGATTAGTTTTGAGAAACGGGTTTGTTACAACTCTTACCAATAGCCGAGTGGAAATAGGAGCGTGTTACCATGGATTTTGTAGTTGGGCTTCCTAGAACACAACGAGGCAATGACGTCGTTTGGGTGATTGTTGATAGGTTGACTAAGTCTACCCATTTCATTCCGATGTGCACCAGTGACTCAGTTGAACGCTTGGCAGAGTTGTACATTAGAGAGATAGTTTGACTTCATGGAGTCCTTGTGACTATTATGTCAGATAGGGATTCTCGTTTTATTACCTACTTATGGCAAAGCCTTCAAGAGGCGTTGGGAACTAAGTTGACTCTTAGCACCGCTTATCATCCTCAAACCGATGGACAGTTGAAACGTACCATTTAGATTTTGGAGGACATGCTTAGAGCTTGTGTCCTTGATTTTAAGGGGCCTTGGGAAGGCCATTTACCATTGCTTGAGTTTGCTTACAACAATAGTTACCAAGCTAGTATTGGGATGGCACCATTTGAGGCCTTCTATGGCTGATCTTGTAGATCACCGGTTTGTTGGGCCGAAGTGGGTGATGCACCGTTACTGGGTCCGAAAATTGTTAGAGAGACAACCGAGAAAGTTGTTCTCATTCGGAAGAGGTTGGCTACGGCCCAAAGCCGACAAAAGAGTTATGTCAACAAAAGGAGACAACCTTTATCTTTTGAAGATGGTAACCATGTGTTTCTAAAAATCTCACCAAGGCAGAGTTTGATGAGATTTGGTAAGAGTGATAAATTATCTCCAAGGTTCATTGGGCCTTTTGTGATCTTAGAGGGAATTGGGGAAGTGGCATACCAGTTAGTTTTACCGCCACAACTTTCGAGAGTTCACGATGTATCTCATGTATCTATGCTTAGGAAGTATGAACCCGACCCTTCTCATGTTCTTGATTGGGTTGACTTGGAGGTAGATGAGGATGCCTCTTACAAAGAATGACCGAGTCAAATATTAGACACCCAAGAGCAAGTGCTACAGGGCAAAACTATACCGTTGGTAAAGGTGTCATGGAGACACCATGGGGTTGAAGAAGCGACGTAGGAACAGGAGGCGAAGTCCTCTCCAAGTATCTGGATTTATTTGAAAATGCTTAAGTTGCTTTTCTTTGTAATATTCCCTAGTGTTGAGGGAAAACGTATTTAAAGTTGTTAACCACATGTTGATATGTGCGTTGTTGTTTTAAGCATAAGGTTGTTTAGAGTTGCCATTACTTCTTGGGAAATTTCATGTTTATGCATATTTGGGAGGTTGTTGTTAATGAGATAACCATAGTGAAAATAGTGGAATTTGGTTGAGAGTTAATATTGTGATTTGAAAATGAAATAGCATGGCTTTGATCGCTTGAAACCCCTTTGTTTGCGTAGTTTGATTTGAAATTTCGGGGACGAAATTCTTTAAGGGGGGAAGGTTGTAGCGATCCCGGTTTCAATCCTTCTTTCATGTTTTGCCATTTTGACTGGGCCGATTGGGGGTCGAGCTGCCCGGTCAACTTGCGGGGGTCCAGGGGGCAGTGCCCCTTGGTGGGTCCAAGGGTAGCTCCTTGGTAGGGGTCGAGCTGCCTAGTCAGCTCGTGAGGGTCCAGGGGGCAGCGGCCCTTGGCGGGTCCTAGGGCAGCGCCCTGGCGGGGTTGAGGGGCAACGCCCCCAAAACAAAAATGCAAAATGCATTCGAAGTTGCTTGTCTGCTCGAGCTGCCGTTTATGCGCTCGAGCGGAGAATGTTTGGTTTTAGAAGTTTGACCTATCTACAAAAGTATTAGGTTAGTGTATTTGACGCTCGAGCAGGGCATTCCACGCTCGAGCGGACCACATTATATTAGTTCGTGAATCTAATGTTTCATATCACTTTTTCAGTACTCTGTCTCTCTAAAACTCTCCAGAATTCCAAATCGGGCGCTTCTTTCTCTAGAAGTCATCTTCTCTTTTTGATTTCTCCAAATCCAATGGGATTTAGACCTAAGTTCTTCACCAAAGTTGGTTATCATCTCGAGGCTTCGTTGTGTGCGGTGAAGATCGAGTTTCGACATCGTTAATTTTGGGGGTTTCATCTCACTTCTTTTTCAAGACTTGAGGTAGGGATTTTCTTAGAGTTATATATATATTTTTGCAAGATCTAGATGATTTTTGAAATCATCCTTTGATTAGTTTTGTGAAATTGATTTTTTTTTTTTTGGATGAGTAAGTCATAAAATAAAACAAAGAATTTACACGAATACATGGGGCATACCCCAGGCCCTAGCAAAACTAAACAAAGACGGAGCTAGCTAACAGATAAAACAAACAGGAAACCCAAACAGCCTGTTCACCAACCATATCAACACCTACAATTGGGAAGATGAACAAGAGAGGGACCAAAAAAACAACTAAACCTCACAATCTTATGCCTGCAAAACGACCCTGCCTAGGAAGATTTGGATGTTCCACCACAGCATAGAAATGTCCACATAACCAAGAGCCTAAACAGCCTATACAACTGAACATACACATCCCGTAGGGTTAGGCCAACGAACCCACAACAACCTATATATATAGTGGGCCATAAGACAATAACGTACTATAACAAAATAAAGGGAAATGAAACAAACAATTCTCCATCGGACAGATCTCACTATGACTGGTGCTGCAGTGCAACCTGGTCGAAGACGCTCCATCAAACCCTAATGCCTCAATCTGGACAGCAAAGGAACTTTAACCATCCAGCTGATCATCACAATAATTATTAGTAAAACCTGCAAATAACAGCAGTACCCATATGAAAGGAGATTCAAACAACCCTCATAACACTGTAAAAAAAAATCTCACTGTATAGGGAAGCTAAATCACTCAACCCACAACTTGTACACAACTCAAAAAAAATTACATTGTTAGAGCAGTGGAAACCCACAACAGCATGTGAGAGGACAAAAAAAGAGTAAAAACAAGAATATATTGCTCACACCACTCAACCCACAACAACAACATCCCTAACAACCCCCAGACCAGCTTATAACCCAACCTACAAAACAACAAAATATACAAGTTAACACTCAATATATTGCTACCATCACTCAACCCACATATGGTGAACTCACATCCCTCAATGAAGACTTGCCACATCACATACCTGCAAAATGAAAGACTCATTAGGAAAAAAAACCTCACTATAGAGCCTGGCTACACTCAACCCTCAGTGTTATGCTCACAGTCACACAACCCACTCAAGGTGCCACTCCTCTCAATTTTAAGGATGGTTGAAGGCAACCTCCATTCTTGCAAGAACCATGTATCAGTTGGGGACTTTTTAATGTTGCTGAAAGCAAGGGCTCTATATCTAAACTATACATATAATATTATTCAAAAGGATCTCTTCGGGTTTCCTTTCATTACTGAAAATTTTGTTATTCCTCTCCAACCAAACACACACAGTGCAGCTGAAGGCAAGCCTTTTAATAATAGTGGCAAAGGATTTACCTCTACAATCATTAGCTACCACTTCCACAAGGCCCAGCCAATTGGTACTATACCAATTAGTGTTACATTTGGAAAGCATAGCAGCCCAAACAGTAGATAAGAAAGCACACTTGAAGAACAAATGGTCATGATTCTCCCCAAGAACCCCATAAATGGAGCAAACAGGGTTAGGGTTAATACCAAAGATGGCAAGCCTATCTCCAGTATTAAACCTACCCAGAATAGCCATCCAGACAATGAACCCCACCCTAGGAATAGAGTAGGGACTCCACACCAGATTAGCCCAACTAACCTTGGGCCATTTCAATCTCCAAGAATTCCAGGCATAACCAATACTAAAATTACCATCATTATGGAGGAGCCAGATAGGTTTATCATGACAACCAGAAGTGGGCATAAAATCAGATGGTGTATAGGCAATGATCTCCCTAACCTCCCAAGAAGAAGCATTTGGCCAGGTCCAACTATTAACCCCCAGCACAGAGGCCACTTTAGATTGAGCATTTAAAGCAATAACACACATCAATCTGTTGCCATACTTAGACCACAAGGAACCAAAAAAGTGCCAGTTATCATACCAAAGAAAGGTATCTTCCCCATTGTCAATCTTATACCTAATTAAAGGATAAAGGGCATACCTTAAAGACAAAAGCTTCCTCCACACCCAAAAGGGGTTACCGGGCACAGTGACAGCCCAGAAACTTTTACCTTTCAACAAATAAGACTTCACCCATTAACACCACATAGATTGTTCGCCCCCTGCCACCATGAACCAAATATGCTTGGATACAACAGCTCTATTCCAAATCTCCAAGGACTTAAAATCTAATCCCCCTTCATTTTTGGGAGCACAAATTCTATCCCAAGCAACCTTAGCCCCATATTTTTTAAGTTCCAGGCCAGACCAAAGAAAGGACCTACACAAAGCTTCCACCTCCTTAATAACTCTTTTGGAGAGGATGAAAAGGGATGACCAGTAGACTTGCATGAGAAATTGATTGTTGATTTCAAGAATATGAGTGATTTTGAAAGAGGGTTTAATATCTTTTCCTTTTAAAATAGAAATTGAAGGTTTTGAACCATGTTGATTGAAGAAAGATAATTTTGGGGAGATTGTTTTTAATATTTTGGAGATGAATGGTTTTGGTGAGAAAACCTAGAAATTGGATCTTTTCTTCAAAAGATGTTGAAAATCCTTGGAAGATGTTGTCATATTTATTTTGTATACCAAAATAAATGGATGTTTTGAAAATTGTTTATTTATATATAAATGACGAATTTTGTGGAAAAAAAAAATGAGAAATGTTGTTTATTTTGGAAATTGTTGTCAAAATGTTGATTTAGTCTTGAATTGACTAATTGTTGAGATTGCTCAAAGTGTGGGAATTACGTTATTCTCTTGAATGAATTGGATATAAAAGTATATATATATATATATATATATTCATCCTGTGGAATTTTGTTGAAAAGAGGATTGAGAATTTTGCTCACAATGGTATATATTGTGTGGAACAATTGAATATGGAAGTAATGTTGCATTGCATTATTAAGCATACATTGGCATTTCAATTCATTGGACTATGTTAAGCTTTGGAAATTTGCATTGAGAAAAGAATGTTGGGAAATGGGTTTTCATGAAATGGTTTGGGCATAAATACAATGGTAAGTCTTGATAGGTGGTGTAGATGAAATTGTTTAAGTTGGCCTGAGTGTCCTTGGTGAAAGACCAAAAAGTCGCGCGGATAGGTGTCGAACCTTCCGGTTAATACCAGTAAAAATGACAATTGGTAGTACTCGTATAGTCTACTTGCAGACACCAACCTAGGGATTACCAGGGTTGTATTTACCACCCCCTTTAATTAAATTGATAAATTTTGAACATATGAAGTTGCATAACATCATTGAGCATGATGGTTTTCAAAAGATAAAGATGTGTTTTATTTCAAAAAGGCATGGCATTGCATGTGCATTCTTCTCTTGAAACTTGTATAAAATGTATATACTTTGTTAAGAATTTCCTACTGGGCTTTATGCTCACCTTACCGGATTTTTGTGCAGGAAAAAAAGTGGTGAATCTGCCTAATTGAGGGTGTGGAAATGTGTGTGTTGAGAGCACTAAAGTTCTCATTTGCTGTGATCCTATTTGTTAGCCAAAGGCTATGTATGTGTGGGTTTGAATAACCATTTTGTTTACCGGGCTTAAGCTTTGGAAGATTGTAAACCCTTGGGGGTTCTTATTTGGTTATTTACTTGTTGTTGAATCAATGTAATATCGCATGAGGAACTATTATTATTTTGTAATGCAAGTATGGCAAGTTATATTTGGTTTTCCTTTAAAGAGCCATGATTGTTGCATTATCGTTTGGGCTAAAAATTTGGGGCGATACACATCAAGCGAAGCCAACCCATTGTGGTAAAAACCACCTCCCACGAGCTCCAGGTGTTCAAACCCAATTAGCTCTAATATCAAGTTGTCACGCCCCAAATTTTAATTACACGAAAACATTACCAAAGCCTTTAATTTAGGTCCTTTTTTTATTTTATATATATGTCTATTACCCTTGAGTAATAGAAATAAAATAATACATGTTCTCTCTCTCAATAAATAATATAATGTCAACAATACAAGCCAATCTTTTACTGTGAAGCTACAAATAAATAAATACAAATACAAGATCCATTTAAAAGGACTCAAGGACTCCATAACTCCTCAATCAAAGAATCCAAACTTTCTTCTTGTAAAAAAAATAAAACCACAAGGGGTGAGCACTAATGCCCAGTAGGAATCTCATAGTTCTGAATCAATAACTAACACACAAATAGAAATGATCGTGAATGCAAAGTGATACCATATAGTAGCGTGACATTTTACAATTTCAAAATATCATAAGTAAGGTATTTTTTTTCTCAAAAAATAATTATTTAAATGCTTTTAAGAAAAACCTTTAGCCATTAAAAGTTATCCCTTAACCTTAGAAAACCATAGACTCTTGTAAAACAAACATATTTGAGAAACAGCATCATTTAAAAATTATTAACCAATTCCCAAAATATTTCTCATTTAATTTCCATTTTTAATATTCCTCTTTTCTTTCGTTCTTCCTTTCTACACATTATATTTATTTAGAACTCCATAACTTCAAGTTCAAGTTCCGTTTTTGTTTCGCTAACAATTCTCCTATACTCAATTCACATCGTTATTTACACTCTCAAATTTCATTTCAAGATAACACAAGATTAATAAACCTCTTTCAATTTAGTCTCTCATTTATTTACATAACAACACTCATAAGTTACCTTTATTGTCACAACTAATTCATTTTGTTCACCATCACAAATCCATAATCCCCTTACCCATTTTTTGGGTTCCATTCTTTACAAATAATGTCTATGTACATTTCCTTTTTATACCAAATTACACATTAATTTGCAATTTCACAGATTCATCACAAGTCACAAATAACATCATCAACTCAAAACACTTCTCAACACACATCTCAACACAATTCACCTTTTGTCGACTTACTACAGCGGGATAGCGGGCACCCAATTCATAACACTTTCCACCTTTCGCCAGCTACTATACGACAGGAAGTGAACTCTCAAAAACCATTTTCTCAAAAGCCATTTTCTTCCAAAAATCATTTTTCAACTTTTTAAAACCATCCCCCATATTTGTCGGGTACTATACGGCGGGACGTGGGCACCCAAAACATTTTCGAAAACCATCCGTTTTTCCACTTTTGCTGGCTACTATACGGTTGGACTGTGTGGACACCCAAAAATTATTTTTTCCACATTCGTCCAGTGATAAGTCTAGATCGGGCAATTGGGCACCTTTAATTCAAAACCACCCCTACATTTGCCGACTACTATACGGCAGGACGTGGGCCCTCAAAAACCTTTTTTAACTCCCCACGCGGGTACCAAACACAACACTACCCAACACAACTCAACCCAACATGACTCATCAAAACCCAACACAACTTAACTCAACACGACTCATCAAAACCCAACACAACTCAACATGATTCAACACAATTCAACATAGTCAACATAATTCAACGTGATTCCACACAATTCATTTCAACATAATCCAACATAATTCAAGGTGAACTCTTAAATCTCCATTTCATCATTTCATCCCACAGCTCATGTCATCCATATTATTAACAAATCTTTTTCTCCAAATTTCATTTCAAATTATTGCATGATTTACAATGTCCATAATAATGGTTCAATCTTTAATTTTTATATAATTTTCAAACACTTCCAAAATTCAATTAAACTTGTATATATATAATTCAACCCCTCAATTTCATAATTCTACTTTCAATTTAGGCAAAATCATTAATTGTCATCATGAATCAACTTAAGGTTTTTAAGAAAAATCAAGACTTTTACGAAAAATTAAAACTTCTCACACCATTACTTTTTATTCCTATTTTCCCATTGATTATACACCTAAGGTTCATAATCCACAATCTTAACCCAACAATTGAACCCCAACACTTCAAACCCTAAGCTCCCAAATCTCATGATGTTACACTATATGCTCAAAAATGTAGATTTTGTATTTATATAATCAAAATATCACAAATCTATCTATTAATGCAAGTATTGAAGAAGAACTAGGACCCCTACCTCAAGATTGGAAGCTAAGGGTGAAGACCCATCTTCGAACTTCAATGAAATCACAAAATAATCGATAAAAGTAAATTTATTTGGGGTGAATCTTTGGTAAAAAGTAGAGAAATCAAGAGTTTGGAAGGTTAGGTTTTCAGGTTTGGAAGATGGGAGGAGAAGAGATGGAGAAAAATAAAGTTTTTGGGCCAAAAGTCACTTTATAATGTTTGTTAGCGACTTGGTCACTCGAGCGAAGGAAGCTTGGCTCGTGCATAGAAAACAAGCTCCCAGAATCTCTGAAAATCACACAGTTTGCTCGAGCGAAGAAAAGCTCGCTCGAGCGAGCATACTTTCAACACAGAAACTCAAAATTCAAACAGGTATAACTCTCTTGTTCGGACTCCGTTTTAGGTTGTTCTTGTGTCCAAATTGAAGCCTTGGAAACAAGCTTTCCAACGGTTCCAACCTCACATTCAAATTCAAAGTATAGAAGGATAAAAGGACAAAAGAGTGAAAGTTGGTCAAAAACAAAAATTCAAACTTGGGGCTTTTGATCTAATCTTACCTAAATACCTTGTTAAGGCTTCAATCAAGGTTCCAAACATCACCCAAGGGTCCTCAATTATAATATTTAAAGTTCACTTGCCAACCCACCAATACCAAGAGTCCGAAAACCATACAATTTTTAATGACGGACACCAATTTACATCAATCTAATGTGAATTAGAATCCGGGTCATTACAGTTAATGAATGAGATTCGTATTACATAAGATCATATGTATATTACACAAAATCATACTTATAAGTTAATCATTTGAAATACTCTTCCCATTCATATCAGATTCAAGTAGATCATATCAAAGCAAAATGACCTCGGGTCCAACTCATATGCAAAATGACCTTAGGTCCATCATTTTCAGAACGTCCTCAGGTTTATCATATAAAAAATGACCTTGGGTCCATCATTACTGTGACAACCCCGTTCAGTATTATACTATTAAGTCGTAATCATTAGGCCGTTTGGTATATTTGACAAGGACACAGAATGGGCCTAAGGCCGTTTAGAATGTTTTACAAGATAGACCTAAGGTCAATGTATATATGAAT